CGGTTTAAACAAAGACAATGTTTATCATCGTTTTCTCTCTTACGCTTTCCGCAAACAGGACACATATTAAAACAATCATAACTTTGTAAGTACTTATCAGATAAGATTGATTTTTTCACTATCGTAAAGTTTAGAATTCATATTTTTACAAGTTGTTAATAACTCAAAACTTGTTTTTCCGACTTCCGACTGTTTCCCCTTGTTGCCGCCACATATATATATCTGGACTAGTCAGAAGTCAGCACTGGATTGGTCAAATAATCAGCATCTTTTACATTTATTTTTATAATTTTAAAATTTATTCTAATTGGTTGGGCATGAAACAAGCAAAGTCATTCTTTTTTTTTTTGGCCTGATTAATTGGTCTTGTAGATATGGAGAGACTGGTAAAGAGGAGTCGGCTAGTGTAAACTGCTGCCATCTGCCACACTCTTTATACATCAACAGTTGTTCTCAAGTATGATACATTACATTACCAATTCAAGAAATCTCGCTTTTGAATTCAAATGTGCAGCAACGTAATAGTAGTAACCATAATTTCATAAGTCATAAAAGCAGGTAATTATTTTAACAGTAACAGTATGTATTACTCATATGGGTGCATGCCAACCCAAAAACCAGCATCTATGAACAAGAAAAAATCCGACTTTTTAACATATTCGTATTCTCCACATTATAGCTTTAAAATGATAGATATTTACTGGAATCGACTTACAGTATTATATTGCCAAAATTTTTGAGTACAGTAAAATTATTACGGCCTCTACTAGTACTAGAGTACAGTATACTATGGTACCATTCCTAATATAATAATAGCGACATAACATATAGCGACAATACAGTAAGCTAATTTGGGGAAGGATCATTGAAAAAAAAAATATTACATAAAATATTTCCTGCTTTAGATTATTTTCATTATTCAAAATTTAAAATGTGTTGAAAAACAGGCTCATGAAGAGGGAAAAATCCAGAACCATGTAATAACAAAGCAGTGTCAATTTGTAACCACAGATTATCTGCAGATCTGTGCTAATAAGTAGAAAGATTGAAAAAAACTTGTTACAAGCACAATCGCTCATTACAAAATTAAAAAAGCATAACAACAATATTATTATTACACAAACATAAAGTAATTATACTATAAATAAACGTATAGTGAATGGCATAATAAAACTATTTGAGACTTAAATAAATACAGGTGGATTCTTAGTGGCTTTCATTAAGAGCGTGTATACAGTTCAGCAAATGAATTAAAACTGACACACATAAAACTTACTACTACACCAAACTAATGAACAAAACATCTGCACTTTGTAAAACTGAAAGAGTTTCAAAATCATAGTGTCGACAGGAAAGTAGATCAGATTTCTTATAAAAAAACGTTGTCCATGCCCTTTTGGAATAAGTGTTTACATTGTTCCCTCGATTAAGTTTGTCAATAATTGTCATGCTGAGATAAAAAATTAAAAAACAAATACAGTATTTAAAATGTCTAAATGATTATATACATGAGTTGCCAGTTACAAATTCAGATTAACTTGTATTTCAAAATGCTCCAATCAGCAACTGATTCAAAGACAATCATGAATTAGAGGAAGCAACCAAAAAAGTAAAATTTGTTGTATAACTATTTATGATTTGCGCAATGAATCTTAGTATCTGGAAATCAACATTCAAAATAATCGGTGAGTTTTTTGTAACAGCATGTAACATAACTGTTGTAAATGCTATGAGATATTGGGTAGAGCTTGAAATGCAAATACTTGTATGGTATCATTAATAGTCGTATAATTACTGTAGGTCTACTAAAACATCAAATACTGTATAGTCCAACCATATTGATTTTAAGAAACTGAATGTATCAATGAGATGAAATTACAACGAAATAAATTTACACTCTGTACTATGGGTATAACATTTCAAAAAATTAATTAGACAAAAATCATAATAAAAGAGTCTAATAGAACTTGAATGAGAAATGGAATGGACAAGATATCTATGAATTTATAAGATTATGAAAATCCATTCAATAAAATATACAGATACAGATATATTATTTTGACTATCATATATTGCATATTTCAAATTATGATTTTTAGCTGTAAGCATGTACGCCCCGACACCATCAAGTAGTTCAAAACAATTAGATGCCGCAACACCATTCAACCAGATGAATTCAAATAAAATTTGTAATATAATAAACTTATTCAAATATTCCAACTAAAAAGTGTGCAAGACTGTCAATATTATTCAGCCAACTACAGGTGCCATAAAAACCTTAGCCCAGCCCAACTTAGCCCAGCTTCATTCTTCCGATAAATTTCTTCTTTAAGCCCCTTCAAAAAGGTAAAGGCTAAAAACCTATGGACAAAGACTCTTTTTCTGTTCAGGCACCTTATCTTCGGAATCTATTACCTCTTTCTGTTCGACAATCTTCAAATTTAAATTCATTTAAAACTAATTTGAAAACTTTTTTGATTACAAAATCACTTTAATTGGGTTATTATGGTGGGGCTCGTGTAGATGGACTCTGCATCCCATGGTAGGGCACAAGTAGATGGACTCTGTTCTATATCCTACTCTAAGCTAACTCTTTAAACAAGAAGGTATGAAAAGGAGATAGCAAATAAAAAGTTAGTCTTCCCAACGACATAATGCTCATCTTTCACTTTAAAGATATTGTATCTTTTTTCTTTTCATTTCATTGCTATAAAAATACAAAATTGCAGAGGATACTGAGATGGGTCATTGAATGTGCACTATAGACATTACCTAAAATCTGTAGTAAATGTTACAAGGTTTCACAATATAATAATGGTGGCAAATTGGTTTCATTTCATTGGAGGGATTAATTTGGCATTCTGAAATTTTGCACATCCACCAACCTAAATGCCAATACCAATCTGGAGCCAATATATAATATATTAGATGTAGGTCCTTCTTTAGTGATAAAAAAATAATAAAGTTTATAAACTACACATCGTTAAATTCAGTGGTGGACCATTGGGTAAATTGCAGGGTGTGCTGGGTATTGGCATATCTACAGTAGGATGTGCGAGGGGCGCGCAAGCCCCACCCATGGAAAAAAATACTGGCCTATACCCCAGTCGCGTCCCCGCCAACAAATCATGCTCAAATAGTTAAAAATCACCTTATTTTGCGAGTTATCCCCCTCACCAAAACGCCCCTCCCCACCAACATCAGTTCCCTTCCATTTCAAAATCCCTACACCACTGATGCTAGGGCCTGCTAAAAGGAAAAGTTCGTAAGCCTACTACTATACAGAATTAGATTGCGTCCTATAGTCAAAATACAAATGTATGTTATTTGTAATACCAGTATGGTTGTAGTATCTTCTCTTCAAAAGTATTCCTATTCCTGTATTTTAACAAATTTCAATTAAAATAACAATAATTCAAAGTTTCTTCTATACCGGTTATATATGTATGCAAATTTAATTAAACTTTAATCATTGAGATTAGGCCTGTAGATAGAATACCCGATTGGCAGTGGCAGTCCTGCTTTGTGAGAAGAAGAGCATGCGCACATACTCTTGGAAGCACTGTTTCCATTCCAGTGTTAAAATGGCTATTCTGACGCCACCACATGATTGTCACAATAGCAAATTTAAGCGTTGCAGGGTATGTTCTGACTCCCATTGACTCAGTGAATACGTGATTGGCTGATATTGAAAACCAGCAATGCGGAAATTCTAAGCAGCTAGAGTACGCTGGGATAGAGCCGACTGGGAATTATCCTAGATACCAAAGTAGGCCAAACATTTAAAAACTTTGGTATTCCAATGAACTGTAGCAATCCACTCGAAAAATTAAGGTTTATATAGAAGATTCTGACTAAGAAATGCTAAATAAAACAAAGAAACTGTACTACTATAATTTTTTTTTATTTGTTTAGCCAGGGTATGCATTGCATACCTTGCTTGCTTTGACGGTCTGCCACTGGTTAAATTGTCCCCATGATAAATCGCATCGGGCTGCATTGTATGACTGACATCTAGTCAGATGTGACGAGCTTGTATTTAACGTTATTGCAAGGTTCTATTGAGATCTATGATGTTGTGCAACATAGGCCTACACATACCACGGCCAATTTCGGAATAAAAAATATGATTTTTAGAAGATTCAACATGTGAGCATCTGTAGGCTTATATAGGTCCATGTCAATATGAAATGTATGTTGAACAATATATTTTTTGAACTGCAACATTAAATATTATCCTGTTTTAACTGAATATTAGGTTATAAAGGCGCGGCCTTGCCGCTCAGAGAAGAAGAAAAGCAGAAACACAAGGCAAATAAATCAGCATACACTACAGTGGAGGTAAATAACTAGGCGTTTCAAGGAATAATCTAGGCAGGCCTAATTGTAGGCCATCCATACCTAGCCTACAGTAGCTGGCTAAAAAGCTAGCGAATGTCACCAAACTTCAATCTTAGATTAATCAAATGCAAGACTACTGGACCCTTACTACTGAAAATTGAAGAAATCATTATATTGGAGCTTACTCTGGTCAAGGAGGTATATAATTATTTTATACCCCTTGCTCTATTTGGAGTTAATTTCACTGTTCAATTCTGCCATAGTAGCAACTTCAATATTTAGCACTCTCTTCAGATGATACTGTCAAATTTCTTAAGTAGTACTTTTCGATCGTTATTCACTGGAGTTAACAGAGTTAACCTGACGCAATGATACACATGCCATAGGAATTATTAAAAATTGGTTTAAATTTGAATAAGATTACTTTATGCAGTTTAAAAATAAATGAGAAATATCATACCATGCAAGACAGTCAATGTATGCTTAAATTTTAATTAGCAAAATACACATGCTTAAAATGTTCTCCAACTAACTAAACTTATATAAATAGCAAGTATGTGAGGCATCTGGGCTTCTACACCACATGATCATAGTCAGCCAATTAAAAATAGGTTACTTTTAAAACACATCTGTCTTGAAGTGTCAGAGGAAATGTGAATTTTCATAGTGATAGCACTAACTGATGAGATAAATCAAAAGTTTTTTGTTCATTAATATGGAAGACAAAAAGTACCATACCTAATGGATCTTCTTATAATGACATTTAAAATTATCTATTATACAAATGTATGGATATACAGTACAAAAACAAAAGAATAACTTACCAAACCTCATCATTCTGAAATTCTACTTCGCCCTGGATGTGATCAAAGTCCTTTCCATTTCCCTTAGCTGTTCCTTCTATGGTCCTAAATGGCACACGGACAACACCTCTGGCACCTGAGGAACGGACTACCTTGAACTGGGCTACACCAGCAGCCTCTGAAACATTTATCTCTTTCTCCTCAAAATGGAATATACCAGCATGGTCATCGTCTAGGATTGTAATCTGACATTTTGTTGGTTCCACAAGCTCAGCAGATGGTCCATACGGATTACTATCAAACATTCCCTCTGAAGTCCCTACACGTATGTTGTCAAGGTTACAGAAAAAATGTTCATCCTCCTCAAAGACATCATCATCAATTATGGTCAGATATATGTCTTTCTGCGCTTCACCTGGCTTGAATACAAGTGTTCCTTCTGCATAATGGTAATCAGACCCTGCATTAGCAGTGCCATCAGAGGTCTTATAGTCCACATAGATTGTATTATTCATATCTCCTCCTTGTCGCACAACACTAATACTAAAACTTCCAACATTTTCCATCACAGTATAGGATGCTGGATCGAAAAATACCCGTGTAATTGAATCCTCTTGCGCCATCTCTATCTTTACTTCTGCAATACTGGCCCGCTTATTATCCAGGGTCTTTTTAAGAATGTTTCCAGCACCGCACATCTTCCTAGTGGCTTGGATGCGATAGAACGCACGACTTTTCTGCTTCTGATTAAGAGCTTCGTAGTTTGCCATCTGCTCCAAGGTTTGGAGATCTGCTTCAGGATGCTTTTGTTTCAATTCCTGTAGTAATTTAACAAAGTTTTTTCTCTTCTCTTCTAGGTCTTTTTCCAAAGCTTCATCATCTTGAGTGCCTTCAAAACCTATGCCGTCCGATCTTTCGTGGTTCATTTTCATATGGTTTGCATCAGATTCGCCCATTTCCATGTGAGATTCCCTACGAACAATCTTTTCTGCGGTATATTTTTTGCGAAGAAAGCGATAGAAAAAGATTCTTTTGTCAGCAACATAAGCCCATACAACAGTGACAGGAAAGAGCATCAGTGTTAACAATGCTTCCCAGACCTCCACTACATCTTCTGAAATGTACCTCAATATGCAATACAACCAAATGTATGCTAATATGCTAAATGTTGCAGTAACAAAAAATACGCGCAAGTGCTTGATTTTACGAACTTCTCCTTCAGGAATGACGTATACACAGATTGCTATGATTACAAATAAATTGAAAGCTGCACTTCCAACAATCGTGCTGGGACCTAACTCACCAGCCTCAAATTTATTCCCACAGATCTCTATGACTGATAGCAGGATCTCTGGTGCTGATGAGCCAAGTGCCATCAATGTCAGATTGGAAACTGTCTCATTCCAAATGCGAACACTGATGACTACTTCCTCACCATTTGGCCGTGTTACTCTAACTTCCTTCTCTTTAGAGGTAATAACTTCAATTGCAGACATGAACCTATCAGCAATAATGGACACCCCTAGAAACATAAAAGCAAGACCTAAGAAGTATATGATGGCACGTCCAGCTTTATCTGATGTTGCAACATCAACAGGTTTCCACATTGGAAGAAAAACACCATCTTTACACTCAACCTTCTTTGAGGTTTTCGGCGGCGTAGTTGTGTTCTCATAGTTTTCTGTAGTTTGTGAGTTAACAAGCTCAACTTGAAACAAGCATAGTATCAATAATGAAATTATTAGAGCAGTTCCTTTTGAGAGTCCTAAGAAAGCTTGTCTAGGATAAGACATATCTACCGCCATCTTGCTACTACTGGAATGCTTGAGATTCACTTCTGCATAAAGTCAAGACAAGCTAGTTAACTCAAGGAAGTTAACCAAATAAAACAAAGTTACAGACAGTTAGTGTTTTACATCAAGGCATCTTCTATGCTCATCTTATAACAGCAGGTGTGATTGCATCTGTTATGTGGTCTGAGACGCAGGGCTTCCTTTAATCCATTTATCTGTCAACCAAAAGAAAATTATAAATTAATAATAGCTTGTGATTGGGTTACCAATATTATTATGGTTGTCTCCCCTTTCTACCTGTTATTATGCCGGCTTAATTTGGATTCACTTGGTTAGTCACATGTGTCTAATGCATTAGTTAAATAAGTATTATTATCTCCGCCAGTCGTGTAAGTTTGTGTGTGTGTCACATTTTCAAGTTTTGTGTGATATTTTTGTGTTCGAAATATCTCAAAAACAGCTGCACAAATAGAAATTTAAAAAATTACAGGAAGTATTAGTTATGACCCAATGAAGAAATGATTAAATGTTGGTGGCGGAGTAGGGTGTGGATGTGAGGACCAATTGAAGGGATTTAAGAGCAAACACTCTACACCAGATACTGTATTTTAAAAAGTGTCAACATCTGAATGAAAGTTTCGTGAAAGTTTAACCATATTAAGAGGAAGAAATTATTAAGTGTTGGTGATGATCCAAATTCGGGTGTGAATTTGAGGGTCACTTAAAGTCCTAAGGTCCCAGACCTAATTATCTCAAAAAATATTAATGGATCTAAATGATGCTAGCAAGATTAGTTTGTCATGTTTCGATGAAGAAATGTTTACATTTTGATGACCATCAATAGGGTGTAGATATAAGGACCATTCAAACGAAAATGTCGCAGACAAGATATTTCAAAAACTAATCAACTGATCTGAATGAAACTTTCGTGAAAGTTTAAGCAAGTTACAAGAACGAAATTAATAAGTGTTGTTGACGGTCCAAATTCGGGTGTGCATTTGAGGGCCATTAGGTCTCAGACCCAAATATTTCTAAAATGGATCAATGGATCAAAATGATGCTTTTCAGAATAGTTTGTCATGTTTTAAAGAAGTGTTAAAATTTTGGTCATGATCCGAAAGGGGGGGGGGGGGGGGGGGGGAGGTGTGGATATGAGGACTATTTTAAGAATAGGTTTACCGTATACCGTAGGCAGATAACAATAGCTGTATAATGAATATTTAAATTAGTGCAAGTACAGTATATGTGTACAGCATTTTAACTTTAGTTTTTGGGAACAGATTAAGAATATTTTTAATGCATCTTTAAAAAAGAGTCCCCAAAAACCTATACTAAAAGTGGAAATAGTACCCTTCTTTGAAATAAAAAAGTGTTTGGGCAAATTACTGTGCATTTTTGAAAAGGAGTAGAGCGAGGTGGGGTGGTACTGGTGGTGGTTGAAGTAAGAAACATAGCGTAAAACCTCAAATTGAAGCCCGGTGGGCTTCATCTTGAGATGAAGCCCATCTCGAATTGAAGGCCCCCTTTTTAGTTTGCAAAATTAGCCTCGAAAAGGAGCCCATCTCAAAAAGAGACCCATGGGCTTCTTTTCAAGATAGCATAGGCTTCTTTTCGAGATAAAACAATACATACACTGTACATGAATTTCAGAAAACAAAATAAATTAAATACAAGCTTGGTTTATAAAGTAGTTTATTTGAATTAATGCCAGTTAAATACACTTCATGATACAAATTGATGTTTACAGTGGCCTTATTTATTGTTTTATAATACAAATTCACAAAATTTACCGCATTCATTTTGAAAAGAAGCCCCCTCTCTTTACTTTGCAAAAGTAGTCTCGAAAAGAAGCCTATCTCGAAAAGAAGCCCATTTAAAAAAAATCCCATCAAAAGTTCACAAAAAAAAGAAGCCCAGGGCTTCAATTTGAGGTTTAACAGTATTTTGGGACTCATTTTATAAAAAGGGATTTGCATTGAGATATGCTCTCTACTGTGTGCTCTTGTTGAATGATCTGTGCCTTCCAAGTTGCAATACAAAAACACAGGCTTCTTTTTACATAATTTCATCTTCAAATATATAATTAGCAAAGCCTAAATTATTTTACTAATTTGGAATTAGGAGGCACACCATCGTCATGTGTGCAGACAGTAAAGAAGCTTATCTTATATTGACTGTAGAGAGTAGCCAACATATTATTGCATGCTTGAATAGACCTAATTATGCCAGATCCCTAGAAAATACAGACTAGACATTAATCATATGAAATAATATTCTTGACACAATACATGCAATGTTTAACAATGTGTTTGCAATATGATTTATTGAAAAATTTTAAAAATAAGACAGTATATCTCAGAAAAAAAATTTAAAAGAATCATAATTTTTTATTAAATTGGTCTATTTTTTTTTCTAATTTAGTTTGTTGCGACAAGAAAACTCACCAATTATTTATAAATTTTATAAATGCAGTACATTTGATTATGAATAGCTGTTCATAGCACACAGTCCTATTGCAAGGTAAGAACACTACCACAGAGTCACAAATCTCCTACAGTAAAACATAAATCTTTCTTCTAATATAAATTAACAAATTAATCAATCTAGAAAGCAGAGGAAAGGGTGATTTGAGTGCATATTAATAGTTAAATGTAAATGAAGCATTTAATGGTTAACTGAGCTTTGAAACTGAAATAATTAGTGTCCTTTAGAGTCTAGGGAGGTGAATATTTAAGGTCAGGTTTAAGTCAGGTCAGAGTTAACATCAAGTTCAATGAAAGAAATTCTGTAATACTTGAATATTTCTTGGAAAGAATACATCGTAATTATTTTACAAAGTCTTATTACTAAAACTGAAATTACAAAAAGCTGCAATTGAATCAATTCAAAAATTCATCTTCAGATACTTGAAAGTTTTCTATCGTCATCATACATTCCTAAATCAATAGACTCCTAGAGGAGAACTGTAGATGACCAGATTTACCCCCAGCATGTGATATATTTCATCTGCAGAGATTGCCTCTGGACATGAAGGACATTTTAATCTGACTTAAATGGCTGCATCTAAGTGGATACTTGTCTTTCAAGTTATATCACAGAAACCCACCCCACGCATCTATACTCCCCACCCTTTGCGTCCACAATCCTGCAATATGGGCCAAAGGAACGACTGCAAAAAAGCCAAAAAATACCTCTAACTTGCACCGCATACTAAATGTAATCTCTGTAAGATAATAAATTAACACCGGATTTTTAAATTTTAAGGGAATTGACCTAAATTGGATAATTTTCAATAGTTTTATTAATTCTCAAAGAATTTCATCTGGTTTTATATAATATTTACCATAATTGAAAAGTTTTATTAATTATTTATAATTATTTTATTAGTTTTATTAATTATGGTTATTTTTTGTTACTTTAAAGTCATCGTTGATTTTTTTTTTCATTTAGATGTGTGCCACTCTATTATGAAATAGATTCCAAATGAAATCTAAACACTAAACTAGTTCATTAACTGGATGGCCTATATATTAAAATTTACTGTATATGACATACGAAGTTTCAATTATTCACTAAATCAAAATTCATTTAAATATACCTACTGTTTACTTAAATATACCTAATCAAGAAGATTTAAATAACAAACATTTTGAAATATGATCGAGGTATAGAGCTAATTAAAACAATTTATAAACAAGAAAATTATTATACCATTACATCCATATAGTTGATATGATTAGGGTAAGCATTATAATATTACAAAACATTGACTATACAAGCAAAAGCATACCTACCTAAAGAACCTATGTTAAGCAGAAATTATGTAAACCCAAGTCTAAAGATACAGCAATATGGCTGAGCTGTACTAACCACTAAAGCGTAAATGCCAAGTGCCAACAGAAGTGAATTCTGTGTTCTCATTTTGACATTGATGGCATTGCTCCGATGTAGCATGCAAGCAGATTGGCCTACACAGCTGTTGGCTCTCCACTGCTCTGTTAATCATTGCAATTTGCATGAAACGCTAAAGCAAGCCTTGTTATGGTCAAAAGCTGCAGCGCTTTGCAAACACTTAATTAATAAGCTCAATAGATTTTTAGATGTTCTCATGCTTTCATCTCATTATAATATATGGCAGCCTTTTAATGCATCCAACATTATATAAATACATTTATTCATATTCAGTGATTTTATGAAATGAGAATCAGAAATCAGTGTAGCCATACAGGATGATATATAATATATTTTTCTCTAAAACACAGTGTAATCCTTAGATAATTTCATATTTAATATTTGTATTTGGTTGTTGGTTTCCCACAATATTTGAGCCTATAGGTTTGACTATGATTATAAATTTGAATAAATGATCACGTGAAATCATTTCTAAACAAATAACAAATTCTGACAAATTTTCAAATAAGTGAAATAAAATAAATAATTTCATTTGGCCTATAATAGGTTTTCGACTTAGAAACAATAATAATATGTCGTTCTTATATAGCACTTCATGCACAAAGCCTCTAGCGCTTCACATTACTACCCCGTCAATTGGATCAAACACATATGAACACATACTCAACACCAAATTAAATTATTAAATTAAATTATATTATTATTCCATAATATTGCAGCTAGTAATCAGCGCAGTTGTGTTGGAACCTACCAGGTACTCCCTTGTACTCATGGGTGGAGAGAGGCACCCGTAGATAAAGTGCCTTGCCTAAGGACACAAGCGATTTGCACAGCGAGAGTTTTGAAACCCCAACCTCGAGGTTGGGAGCCCAAGCCACAACCGATGCACCAACCGCTTCTAGTACACAAGAAAATTTCACCTAAAAAGGCTGTGTCCTTAAACTACTACAACAAAGGATTTAAAAGAAAAAGAAAGATGAAAGAAATGTATCAAATATATTCAAAAATATTTAATATAGTGTTAGCTTAGTAATAAGTATCTTTAGGACATGAATACCTGTATATTAAATCTTCAAAAGCATAGTAGATTTGCTCCGAATCGAATTAGGTGACCCACCCTTCATTAAATCACCTTTCTAATCTAAACATTTCATTTGAAAACCTTCAAAATTATTGAAATTGAGTAACAAGTTTTCAACACCTTCTAACAGTATAGAAAGAGGACGCTCTTTTAAGGTCACTGCCAGAGCCATAGATAAAAGAGAGTTTGGCCAACTCGGTTTCACGGGATTCGATATACACGCGTGTGATTGGGTGGATCGCAATCACATGACTTACACCGGCCATGTTGCCACCAAAACAAAACATTAAATCTATACGCGCGCATGCGCCTGGGCTGTTTGGTAACGACATGGCGTCCATGCGCCAAGTTGGCCAAACTCTCTCTATCTACGGCTACGGAAATCTCCATCCACTTCAAACTCATCTTTTGTAATCCATCTAATTATTTTTATTTTTTGTTGATGGTTTTTATTTTTCTGTTTTTTTCTTATTTGTTTCTTTTATTCAACTTCTTTCGGACATTTGTTGAAACCGCACAGAGACTTAATATTATGGCTATACAACTCTACATCCAATACCATTAATATTAACCTCGTCATGGTGAGTACAAATTCACCAATAAACAAACAGTTTTAAAATTACATTATAAATTACAGATTTCATTATCGAAGACTATAAAATGCATATATTTAAAAGATGCTTCAATTTGCTTATTCAAAAATATTGATCCAACAGAAAAAATGCATTAGAAACCTCGACTGGCTTTGCTGACAAATCTTACAAAATCAATCATGAAACTCGAACTCCACAGTATTCTTGAACAAATGTATGGATGTTAAGAAAGCTGATGCAAGATATGACTGTCAGATACAGAAATAGCTATGTATCACACTATATTGGCTTATACTGTACCCTACTTTATTTGTAGCAACTGTAAAAAATTGTAGGAAATGTAACAACCAACTGCCAAAGCCTGTGTGAATGATCCTCAATATCAATTACTTGTTATTTGTTGCTATTGGGTGCACAATCTTTGGGGGGGTGGGGAACACATATAAAGTTCTCGCCGCCACGCCTACCTCAGCCCCACAATGGTTGGTGTAAGTAAGTGGCAAATAATCAAGCTCTCCTTCATCTGCCCTTGGCGAACTGAACATGGATGAGGAAAGCATTCTGCTGAGAATCCTGGTTAGGTTGGGCACACTTGGCATTTGAATGGTCTGCAATCTTTCTGATGAAAAAAATCGCTAGAGAAATCAACTGAATAGATAGGGAAAGATAACCTTTTTGCACAATTATATTCTGATTAGTTGCTTTTGATCACTGACTATATTTTGGCCCTTCCACACATACAAGATTCTGAAGATGCAGCCTTAATGATTTTTCTTTCTTTCACTTCTTTGTTGTTTTTTTTTTTTGGCCTGCCTGTAGACCATCCTCATGTAGGGGCGGATACAGAGAATTTCTGACGGGGAGGGGGAAGATAGACAGGGAAATATAAACCTTTTTGCACAATTATATTCTGATTAGTTGTTTTTGATCACTGACTATATTCTGGCCCATCCACACATACAAGATTCTGAAGATGCAGCCTTAATGATTTTTTCTTTCTTTCACTTCTATTTTTTTGGCCTGCCTGTAGACCATCCTCATGTAGGGGCGGATACATAGAATTTCTGACGGGGAGGGGGGGAGATAGACAGGGAAATATAAACCTTTTTGTACAATTATATTCTGATTAGTTGTTTTTGATCACTGACTATATTCTGGCCCTTCCACACATACAAGATTCTGAAGATGCAGCTTTAATGATTTTTCTTTCTTTCACTTCTTTGTTTTTTGTTTTTTTTTGGATTGCCTGTACATCATATCATGTAGGGGCGGGTACAGAGAATTTCCGAGGGGGGGGTGGGGAACACATATAAAGTTCTCGCCGCCACGCCTACCTCAGCCCCACAATGGTTGGTGTAAATAAGTGGCAAATAATCAAGCTCTCCTTCATCTGCCCTTGGCGAACTGAACATGGATGAGGAAAGCATTCTGCTGAGAATCCTGGTTAGGTTGGGCACACTTGGCATTTGAATGGTCTGCAATCTCTGAGTAGTGTACATCTGATAGTTACAATTAAACACTAACAACACTTACAATAGGGTCTGCATCCATCAAAGATGGCTTTTTAAGCCTTCTTTTACACAATTTTTTTTTTAATGTTTGGCATGGCAGCAGGTGGGTTAAAAATGTTTCTACCATCAGCAAGAGTAACGATATACAAACAAAAAAATATTTTTGATGGCGACTTAGTGGCATCCTATTGGTACAATATCACCAAGTTTTGGATTGGTGTTATGACCACTACGATTGAACACAAATGCCCAAGACACTGTCACGATATCACGACAATGTTAGACCCTCACACAATGGTATTGTGTTGTGTACGACAACATTGCAAAATTGAAAAACGGTGCTCTACCGTAGCAAAAATTGTGTATGTGCAAAAGGGGCATTAAAGCAAATGTAAATCTGAAAAAAATAGTGATTTTTTTATTCAACTGCTTTAAAACTAGCTGGTATTGATAC